CTAATTCTTACCATAACCCAGAGAGATCCTTCTGTAGCAGCTTCTATGGTAGCAGCTCTTGGCATGTTATTTAACATGAGTGCAAGTTCACCGAAACTCCCACTGTTCTCATACGTTCCCACTAACTTGTTCTTTTCCTCCTCGGTGCTCACATATATATTATACACGCCGCTAAAAGAAACCAATATTTAAACCTTAATAAAATCAGGTTACAGCTTAAAAATATACAGTCTTTATATTTACACAAATTGGCCAGAATTCAAACAATGCATTTTTCGTTTTGATCAAAATATAACCAGGCCATGGTTTAAACAATGTGTAATTTTTATCTCTACACAAGCTGACCATGTTTCTAACGAAACATATATCATTGCCGCCATATCTGGAGTAACCCTCACAGCTACGTGTCTAAAACATGTAAACTATAATAACTGTTTTATATTATCTGATATATATATATGCATTTTATGTCAAATGTCTTAGCTGTTAAAAAGGACAATGTGCGTGAGAAGTAAAAACATATGATGTACAAGTTCAGGAATGGGTTCGAAAGAAAGAAACTTGTCAAACATTTGAAAACACGTGCATCAGATTTACAGTCAGTGTGTTTACATACTAGTGTTTATTTCATTTTTATCTTCCTACAAGTTACCTATGTTTTGCCTTTTTTTTTTCAAGAAAATTATATTGTTAATTTGAACAACTTTTAATTTCAAAACATACGTGATCTTACGCACTCATTAATCGGTGTAGGTTTTGGAAACTTTTATTCACTTATTGCTCGTCGAAAATGGCATGATTGATTAATTCATTGATTGCAGATCTACCCTTAGAAATAAGATAGAAATCATGATTGATTTGGTCACTGGTTCCAAGTCGATCCTCAGAACTGGAGGAGACACCATAACTGATTGATTCACTGACTGCAGGAAGACTGAATTTGTCTTAGGAGGCAGGGATAACGTTAGGGGTTTTTATTAATAAAATACTTTTTATGCCAATATATGTAAGTGTACATTAAACGAAGTACTTAAGTTATCTCATTCATTGTTAAAAACTTCACAGCGCTATAAAATATTAATGCTCTATTGTCTCAACATTAAATTTTAATAACATTTTACACAATTTCAATTCTAGTCGATGTTTGCTTACTTTTGTACGACGTAGAAATAATCACCGTCATCACCTTGCTTTATCACAACTTGACCAGGCTCCACCTGTCAGAACAAAAAACATGTTACTTCGACGATAGTGTAGCTTTGGACTGTATTCATCCTTAATAGTCTTCTTTATTCCTAATGTAAAAGTGTTGACAAAGTTGATCAACTGATTCAGAATTTAAAAATTCCGAGGCCTAACATACTAGTACTTAATGTTTTAACTAACTGTTAAAAGGTTTCAATTCTGACCTCTTTTGTATAAAATAATAATAATACTATTTTATCATTGTTCAGTAGGTAATAATTTCACAAAGAAAAAAACATCATAAACTGTTTATTTAATTACGGAGCCAACTGTGAATCTACGAACAATTCTCAATCAGTAGTCTAATAACTGGATTTATACATAATTATTATATTATATTAGACAATTATTATTCTTCTGTTTATTGAAGAAATAATTAAAAGGAAAATATTAAACAAGAACTAAAATTCAATCTGAAATCAATACAGAAGGTAATAATGCTTTATACGAAATATCTGCAAATGCTAATGCGGTGGCATTTAATCGCAGATGTGAGCTGTGGCGTCACGTTTAGCATTATATATTTGGTTCAAGGCGAATTTGCAACCATTCGATTGTGTAATACTGTCACGGAGAAACTTATGCCTGGGGGATGATGTCACAGACCTTTTCGAAGAAGAAGAATCATATAGCGAGATTTTTAAACGATGTAGAAGCAAATAACACAAAGTTTCGAAAAAGGAAGTCTTTAATGTTTCTATGGCTAAACGATGTAGAAGCAAAGGACACAAAGTTTCGAAAAAGGAAGTCTTTAATGTTTCTATGGCTAAACGATGTAGAAGCAAAGGACACGACGTTTCAAAAAAGGAAGTCTTTGATATTCTCTATGGTAACACATACAAATTTAGCCGGTAGAGTGTAGAAGACCACATTCAAGACGATCAGGGGCAAAGCTACTCCTTCTTACTCTCGTAAACCATTGGAATTAAACTAAGTATATCTCTTGTTACCATTAACAAGACAACACACAATAGTTTAAAGTCCAAGAAAACTCAGAAGGAAAAAGGTCCCAAGCTTCTAGCCATTACTCTAGTTACCATTAACAAGACAACACACAAAAGTTTAAAGTCCAAGAAAACTCAGAAAGAAAAAGGTCCCAAGCTTCTAGCCATTACTCTAGTTACCATTAACAAGACGACACACACAAGTTTAAAGTCCAATAAAACTCAGAAAGAAAAAGGTCCCAAGCTTCTAGCCATTACTTTAAATCAACACATACTTTCACGGAAAAGAGGATTCGTCAAATTCTCCGACGCAGCTCCAACTGTCTTTTGTGACGTAATATGATTAACGCTGACGTTGAAAATTAATGTTTACGTTCAGTGGGGAGTATATGGAAAGTTTATCAAAATTTGTGCTTAAAGATTGGTCTCACCGTCTCTTGCAGAAGCTTGTTAAAATGGAAATTTTAGTGTTAGCAGAATTATGTAATCCTGACTATGAAACTAAGCGCTATGCGGGAAGTGGCTCCAGAAACCTGGAAGATCGTCCTCACAAAATGGGATTAACCTCAGTAAATCCATAAGGATGTGATTAACCTCATTAAATCCACAAGGATAAAAAAAAAACAATCGACATTTTTATATACGTCTACAATGAATATATATATATATATATTAAACAGATGATGGTTCAATTATCGTATATGCAAATTAGATCTGTACTGAATACGTAAAAAAATGATCAACAATTAACGTTTTTATTATGATGCCACTGAATATTACCGAAAAAAACAATCTCCGTGCACGATGTTCAGGATGAGGAGAAATGCAATATTTGTGCCAGCTCATTTCCATTTAAATAAAATTATATCAGAAACGAACATACTCACCTTTTTTTCAAATATGGCATCCAGGACTTGTTGCATTTGTTGCTGAAAAAGTAAAACAAACAGCGCAGCATTTAGTAGTATTCTTGCTTATAGTAATATTCATATTATCAGTTCTTCTGATTGCATTTTAGGCATGAGATCTGTTTAAATAACAAATTATTTGTGTACTTTTTTTATATATATCCATAAGATCCAAGGTGTATTTAAAATTGAGTAATGTTTTTTCTGAAACTAAACCAGTTGTATCGAAGCTGTTACAGGAAGATTATAAAAATAAACTACGGTAACCATGCGTAATAAAATAAGAACAAGTTTTGAAAATCAAACTCGAGTCGAACCCACATCAGAAGAAATAATTTATATTTTTTTGAGTCTACTTCTTTCACATTTAACCGCCAAAGTACACAATAGGCTATATGCACTGTGCCCATTTGCGAGTATCGAACCCCGCTTTTTAGAATTATAATTCCTCAAGCTTCTAGCTGAGCCATCGAAAGGGGGCAGGGGTTCTTTTGTGGTCTGAAAGAAGAAAAGTAAATTATATA